TAGAGAGCAAGTTAATGCCAGCAGATTATACTCCAGTGTCTCCCACACTAGCCAATCCACACTGAAAAGAGTGGGTCCATAGTGGATCCTCAGACCTACCACAGCAGAAAAATCAACGCCAATAATGGAAGGCAAAAAGAGTCATTTGAAAATGTCTCTAGAAATCACATCTTTCATCTTTGCCACTCTCTAAGTGGAATTGTTCAGCTAGTTTTTGATGCCTACCTTTGGGCGTCTGCATCAGACCTCATCTTGTGTGTATTTTAGAGCAAGTGCTCACATTTCCACAACAGGTAAACTCTCTGCTGAGACTCTTATTTTCTCTTTGTCAATTCCCCTTCCCTGTGTGTGCTTCATAGCACTAAGGGGCATCTGCGATAAAAGGCCACTCATCGAGCCGCTCATCTCATGCTATGAAGAGTAATCCCTGTATATGTTGTGTAACAGAGAGTTGGACAAGGAGGGGGATGGGCACGAATGTGCGCAAGTTTGTCCGTGCTTGTGACTGTTGAGCTCATGGCTGTCTAATCTCTTAGGTACATTAGGCTGCCCACAGTACTGTGCTGCTTCACTGTTGTTCATGCACTAAAGGCATTCTAGGAACAGTGTTTGGTCTAGAATACTATCTAAGAGTTATATTAGTGCGTGTCCGTCAAATCATACTGTGCTCATTATACTGTCACGTCATTTCTTTTTAGCACTTGGCTCTAACATGGTTGTTCTATGGTCACAGGGCGCTATAGCCTTGACAGTGCAGTCAGTTGTTTCACTAATTGTCATTTTTGTAAACTTAAAACGGAAGCCTATTTTGCGCAGTGTAATGTGCATCAGACCTGAATGTTGAGCATCCGAACTTGTGTTGGATAGTCATTAAACATGTCATCTCATGGTAGCACCTGGGAGTGTGTGTTGACTCCCCTACGTCTGGCGTCATCTTCAACTGCATCAGCAGTGAATCAGCAGAGAATACATTTTCTGCACACTTACTCCAAAACACAAGTAAAGAGATAAGAAATAAAAAATATTTTCCTCCTTTGCTGGAGCATCATTCTGTGCAGCTGCTGACTGTCTGGTCTTTTGACTTTTATTTCATAAAGAGAATGATCACCTGTATGATCACAATTTATTTGTATTATTGTCATTAACAGACAGCTGTTGTTGTTTACAATAAGGGAATGCATACTGCACACAGTATGGCTGCACAATATGGTAAAAACATTGCAATTATTTTGACAGACATTTTGATTGCGATATGATTTGCAATTAGTGCGGGAATAATCATCTTTTCATCACAAATTAATTTCCTGAAAAAACTATTAAAATCATGATGATGTGATTGATGTGTGTACCAAACACATTTTCTTAACAAATGTTTTCTTAAATCTGGTGAAGAAGATTTGTAGACCATGGCATCTCTGCAGAACTACAGTCCTTCATTTTAATAGTGTTGCAGCTTCCTGCAATGTGCATATGGTCATATTGTAATTTTGATAGTATTAAGATTAATGGTGCAGCCCTAGTGTACAGTGATGGTAAAAAGTATGCTATAAAAATATGAAGTAACCATTACACATTACCACAACAAATTGTAACCAGCCATATGTTCCACTAAAATATTCTAGAGATCTGGAAAATCTAGTCTTGCAGAGACCTTTCCTTCACTATACAGTTAAATAGTTTATTTGGAACACAGCCTCTGGGAACTATACATTCTGTTATAGCATTTTCTATAATTATCTAATAGCTGACTGTGTTTTACAAAACAACACTAACACAGTGATTTTAATTAGTGCAAGATTGCATTTACAGCAGTAGAAAGGTTCTCCGTTTTAGGAAAGCCAAAAGGATTGTTAGATAAATAAAAAAAAAATCTTTGAAAATATCCTTCCTTTGTATTTAGACTGCATTTACTCAGTTTATGTATTAGTTTTGTTTTATGCCTCAGTTGTGTTTGCAGGTGGTAGAAACAGACAGGATTATTGGACACAAAACAGTAGATGTGAGCTGAGGCTTAGCGAGTGACTATGGCTTTGAACACTAGCATAAGGACAGTCACATGCTATCTCCAGTCAGGGGGATGTTGGCACGGGCTTGTTGCTGGTTGTTGAGAATATTTGGATGACTTCAGCACACTCACACACAGGCACATATACATGCACAGTCATGGGGTTCACACATTCTTGCTACTGCCAGTTTACAGTTGCAGAATATTGCAGAGATTAGCTATAAGTGGACATTAATTGTTTACAAAAGAGGTAGTTTGATGTGTTGGATGGTGTGGTGTCTTGGAAAAGTAAATTCAGGGCAAATGCTATTTCCAGATCCCGGCAGGAAATTACACCCACAGTTTCGATGCGGTAACCAGGCACACAGGCAGTGCACAAACATACGACACACTGACAGTGGATATTTTCATGCACACACACACACACACACACACACACACACACACACACACACACACACACACACACACACACACACACACACACACACACACACACACACACACACACACACACACACACACACACACACACACACACACACACCATCAGTGCCCTGACCATAGGGAGTTTGTGCTGAGCTGGTTGGGACGTCAGGATGAATCAATGCGAGGACAGCTGACTGGACATGCCTATTCATCTGCCAAAGAAAAGAGAGAAAAAGGGAGCGAGGGATTCTAAAAAGAAATGAGTTAAGCCCCGGAGCAACATGTTTGGCTATCTGCATTAAGTTACAGATCCTCCAAAGGGCTCTCAGTATTTATGGGATGAAAGCAGACAAGGTTGAAAAGATAGTGACGTACAGAGGCAACATTTATTTTGTAAGATTGATTTTTGATGTTAAAAATGCAGGAGACAAATTCCTTGTTTAACCCAAACAATGCACAAATACATTTCCTTGTATGATTGTGCAAAAGTAGGATATTGCAGATGCAAATATATAGCACGCACCAATCACGCAGTCTGCTTTGACAAAGGCATAAGCTCATACTGTAGAGGCGGCTAACTCCATACTGATGGCCCGTTTATTCCCATCTGTTGCCCTCAGCTCTGACTTCATCCCCATTGTGTTAACTCATTACATTCGCCTTAACCTTAACCCCTTAATTGCCACCCTCCAGTTACTCGTGCACATCCTCCCCCTCTTGGAGACAGTGTGCCACATTGCCCATGCACTAATCTGATGGCGTCTGCCTACCAAACACCTGCCATGTCCGAAAAAACCTCCTAAACTCCTCCCATATTCCAGATACAACACCCATTCCAGTGCGAGCGGATCAGGACACATGACCACAGGCAGGCAGGCAGGCAGATGCGACCGTGGATGAAGATACAGATAATTGGACAGACAATCTCATCCCCTGAAAATCATACCAGAGTCAATCGCTTTTTCTAGCCTTTATGTGAATGTGCACCTAGTTTTCCCTCACATTCAAAAGACTGACAAGACAAACAAGAGTTGTCTTTTGTGCTGCCTCATTGCCCAGACATGTATTCGAAGACAGTGACATGTAGGCCCAGGCCTCTTTGCTTTAACAATACCTCTCTCGACCCCCCAATGAGAGGTGGAGGGCCAGACATGAGGCGATGTGACAGTTCTGGTGCGGCTGACACAATAGCAGGTTTTTCTTTTGACTGCCTGGCTGGCTATTCGCCATAGAGTACTTTCTTTCGCCATTAACAACCTAACAAATATGTTTGCTTGAACACGTTTAACCACATCAGACCGACTGTACTAGTTTTCATGTAGAGTATAACAAATGCCTGTTCTGTTCATGGATGGTTTTGTTCTGCTTTTAAACAGATGTCTCAGAGCTAACAGGGCTTCATATATCAGAATTACGAGATCATTTGCCTCATATCTCACGTTTAATTTTGTTAATTATCAAAACAGTAATATTTAGAAATGTACCTCGTTACCTTTACCCACAATCCTACATCAACCCCAGAATCAGTGCCGTGTGTGCCTATATTTGAGCTTCTAAAATGAAGTTTGTTGATAATGGATTATTGATTGTGAAGTAGAGTGGGCTGCCCCTCAGGGTTCATCCTGGTTGGCCAGGAATGAATACATCTCTTCATGCTTCACCTCACACACTCAATTTAGGCATAGGAAACCAAAGGACACACACACGCATGTTGAGACACTGACCCACACTCTAATACGCACAGACAGGCGTTGCTCATCCACTAGGGGACAAAGGTTATTTTAAAATCTGTGTGATGCCTCAGTGAGCTCTCTCTCTTAGTACATGGTTTGTAGTTTCTACACATACGGAGTGAAACTACCTTACATGTAAGCAACTTCTGCTTTCATTGTGAGTGTATTCAAGTTTTTGTATACCTACATATGAACAAAAGGACACAAAGAAATGTGATTTTGTTTGACAGCTTTTTGAATAGAAGTATCAATCTTATGGAACAAATTGTGTGTTTTGTCACATTTAATTATTTAAATATCTTCTACAGTCTATAGACTCGTTAAATAGGGTCTTCTCCTTCTTCTTCCAATATTGTATTAAATATTGTAATATCCTTAATTATGCCATGGACAGGCACGGTCACTTCAAAGTCATGTGCACATGTGTTTTTATGTATCATCACTGTTATGTATCCTAAACTAAATATAACTATATAACCTAAGTAAGTATTGCCAAATTGTGGCATATATTTCTCCAAGGAGGACTGAATGCTTTTTGGGGCATTTTACTGGACTTTATTGGTCTTTTTACTATTGATGTAAAAAAAAAAAAAACATTTGCTCATTTTCTGGTTTTCTTTAGAATAATTATTATATTGAATAATTATATAATTATTATATTGAATAATTATATAATTATATATATATATATATATATATATATATATATATATAATATATATATATATATATATATAGGTAATTTTATTTGACCAACCTTTTTGATGTCATCTGGTATGTATTATCACCAGCCTAATTTTAATTTATTTTCTTTTACTTTTACTTCTTTCCAGGTATTCTTGCCAAAACAAGGACTTCAGGATGGACATGATGTTTTTGATGCCCATTCCGAGAACCCACTAACTTTTGGGAGATAAACTTTGCATTGTTAGAGGATTTATTACACAGTTGTGGTTCTTTGACGTACTGTTGCTCCAGGAAAAGTAATGGAGACAGAAGAGAGGGAGGATGCATCTCAAAAACCCACAGCCAATATAAAGGCAGAGACAGAGGAAGATGTGACCTCTGGCCACACCTGTGGAGTATGTGGCCGTAGCTTTCCTCTTCTCAGCTCTCTCTCCCAGCACATGAGAAGACACACACGGGAGAAGCCGTACAAGTGTCCGTACTGTGAGCACAGGACGGCTCAAAAGGGCAGTCTGAAGGCCCACATTCGAAGCCATAAGCTGGGCCTGTTCAGCCAAAACCTCAGTGACAAGGAGGGGGATGCAGATCAAGAGCAGAAAGATAACGCTGAGACACCTGACCCTCCTCCTGAACTTGTCAGCACATCTGTCAAAGCTCATAATGTCAACGGGAAGGTAAAGAAGAAAGGAAACAAGAAAAAAGTTAAGGGTAAAGATGGCGCTGAGGTCGATGATGAGGCTGATGTTGGGTCCTGTACATGCAGCATTTGTGGCCAGGTTTTCCCTCAGGTACTACTCCTTAAATCCCACATGAAAAGGCACCGCAGCTCCCAGGATCACGGCTGCCGGATTTGTGGACGCCGTTTCCGCCAGGCGTGGTTCCTCCAAAGTCATATGCGCATTCACCGGGTCAAGGCCCAGCTAAGAGGTGGCAAAAGCAATGAGCCGCCTGCCACCATCAATGGAGTTCCACAGGACCCAGCATCACTGACAAATGAAGAGTGCCTCTATGAGCTCTGTGCTGGTTGCGGCAACTTTTTCTCAGACCGCAAAACACTGCGAATACATGAAAAGCTACATAAACTTAACCACAGCCGCACACAAAATCCACCACAGGAGGATACTGAAGCCCCTGAGATGCACGTTGCTAAGATGCATTTTTTGGAAAGCCTGAGCCTTGCATGTGTTGGTCCAAGAGAAATCTCTGAGGAAAAGAGCCTGGGCAGGCGAATTCCAGAGCTGGATCCAGTTTGTAGTTACCAAGCGTGGCAGCTGGCCACAAGGGGACGACTAGTGGAGGTCACAGAGAAGTGTCTGGGATGGGAGGAGAGGCTAGCAGATGCTGCGGTGGCATATGACACAGAGAAGGGCGAGTATGTACCCCTGAAGCAGGAGAAGAAGAGGAAGCAAATAGACACTTCCAGCTCCAACATAAAGAAGATGAAGGGTGATCCAGGCCTTGATCACACATCGAACAGCTTGGCTCACACTAAAGGTGGTGACAAGAGGATTTGCCAGAAGGACCGTATTTTGTTGAACGGACTTGGTCATGCATTTTATGAGGCGCTGCAGACTAAGAAAGTTAAAGACGTTCACTTCATACCCAAACAGACCAACAACATCAGGAGCCAAGACCAGGAGGGTAAGCTATACACACCACACTGCAGTATCTGTGCTACAGTTTAAAAAGAAAATAGTTTAAATTGCTTGAAAATGGGAATCAATTAGCAGGTCCAGTTTGTGCTGAGGACAGTTGCTTTCTATTGCATATTGCTCCCTTTTTGTTTAAATGAAGGTACCAAAGGTTATGTTTGTGGACATACAGATGTGCCACTTTTTCTGATAAAAACTATTCGCTTTAATACAGACAGACCAAAAGTCTCTCTCTGATATTGCTGTAAGGTAGGTTAAATTCACCAGGTCATCAATGTGGAAATTCAACACTCAGACAACTCTTTATTGGGCTGTGAAAAGCAGATTGGGGTTAACATTGTACTGTGGAAAAGGGAGCCCTCTAGTGAATTTGTAATTGAATTACAGCAACTGTAATTGCACAATAGTTTACATTTTGAAAATGCACAGCAATTAAGGATTCCTCAACTAAGCTTCAGAAGACTTTTAAGGGACAGGTACTTCCAAAATGGTTTAATTAGCTAAAAGGAATATTTTGTTGGCTATAACTCAATAATACACAACAGCCAACGTTCGATGTTTTAAAAAATCTAAATTTCTGCAGAATCTTACAACATTTTCGTATAAAGACAATCGAAACAAGCAACTTTCAAACTGATAAAGACCACTTTGTTGAGGTTGTGGAGAGTATAAATCCTGCTTTTGTTTACATGTTACGCCTGTTGCTAAATAATCACCTGAAATCTTTCTTTGGTCTTTTTAGATTTAGAAAGATTTAGAGGTGCTGCCTGGAAGGAAGCTGTTTGCCTCCCCCATTCACAAATCTGTGTTCAATCAGCATAATAAAATTGAATGATTAAGATAATCACCTAGTGTTTTAGTGAAATTAACTTATTTAGTAATCTTTAAAGAATAAATTATAAGTGTGTAATCACTGCTAGTGACTCTGTTGTATACAGTATATTTAAAAGCATACAGTACTGACACAACTCTTGAATTCCTTTACATTGCTTCTTCTGCTCTAACCTACAGATAAAAAACCATACTTCTGCGAGCACTGTGATTTCCACACTGTCGATGCCTCACTACTCAGGTCTCACCTGCTCAGGCAGCACCAGGACGTCCTGGGTCCATACAGCAAACACAGCACAGCTTTGGACAACATTAGCCAAAGTGGTTCCAAAGCCTCAAGATACATGGACTACCTCAGAAACAGGAGTGTGTTGCTCAGTCAGCCATACTGGAATCCTTACACATGTCCGCCTGGCCAGGGCACTGCAGAGTCAAACATTAAAACAGAAAAGTCAAAGGCTACTGAGGTCAAAGGGCAGGGACAGACTACTAATGATGCTGGAAGTCTCCTTAACCTGTCTTCACTACCCATAAGCGAAGGAGACAGTGCTGTAAATTACCCGATAAAAACAGAGGGCCTGGTGAGACATCAGTGTCCATACTGCACCCACACTACCAACTACCCAGAAGTGCTGTGGATCCATCAGCGGGTTGCACACAGGGTAGATGGAAGCAGCTCCATGGCACCCAAGTGGGCACCCTGCACTAACAGCCCCAAGAGTTTAAAGACAGGTGCTACCCAGTGGAGACGCACAGGGCCTCCACCATTCCTCGAAGGCAAGGACTGCCCTGCTTTACCTGCTCCAAGAACTCAGCGCACACAGCCTCCAGGTATCACACCCCACAGCAGCAGCAAGCACTCAGCTCCCAAGACCCAATCAGGTGTCCCAAAGTCCAAGCATCAGTCAAAGGACTCGCGCGCTTCACATGGGACACAGTCTAGTGGGAGGATGGGACTCCTACCTCAAAAGAAGTCTGGTGGACATAACCGGGCAGACGAGGGGGGAAGTAAGAGCTCCAGCACCCAAGCTACTTCATCGAGCAGTACTGTGCACAGCAAGAGTGCCCCTAGTTCCCAGCCTACAAGCAGCCCCAAACACAGAGGCCACAGAGCTGCAGTGGAAGCAAACTTCCCACAGGAAGGTTTGGGTTTTATGTTGGCCAGAAATCATGGCGGGACTTCATCCAACACAGCTGCAGATAGACCCCATCCCCGCAGGCAGCCATGTGACTCCTCTTCAGGTCCTAAGGGTCCTGATCTGTGGGCTGCCATGAACATGTGGGGTCACAAAGCTTATTTAGAACCACTCCGTTTTGCTCAGGGAAAGAATGACTCAACAGGAGAAATGCCAATGGACATTGATATTTTGAGTCTCCTGAAAAACTACAGTCCCCACGATCTAGCTGCTCTTTACCAGCACTGGGGGTTTGTTGATCCCAGGATTGATCCACAAGGTAAGGAGAAGCTTTTAGTTTTGTGTTTAATTTATTGTAAATGGTTTCAATGGATGGATTAAAAGCTATCTGATAAAATTAAATGGATTAAACAATAATGAGCACATGATGTAACCCACTGCCAACCCAGTAAGAGTGACTTCTAACGTTATTATGATGTTTTACACTGAAAGGTCAACAGTAGGCCTTCATTATTTGAATGTGTAAATTAGAATTAGACATGACCAGGATATTTGTGTTTATATGCTCTTTTTATACTTTCACCTCTACAGCACTGTTGCAGTTAAATGGAAATTTTGGAAAAGAAGTCCATTCAACCTCTGAAGCCTCCAAACAAGTATGTTTTTTCCGCAGCAGCCACTGATATTGTAGTTTTTTAGTTAGATTTAATTTAAAAATATTCTAAATAATAATAATAATAATAATCTTTAGCCTAGAGATCAGTGAATTAACTCACAAATAACTTTATTTTAATAAATTAAACAACATTTAATGTCAATTCACTAGCAGCCTGCTATGTAGTCATGTACATCCATGACTAGTTGGGAGCTTAAACGTAAGGGCAAGATAGTAAGCGGAGGTAAAATGAATTGTTCAGAAACAGTGCAATCATGTCAACTGTTTGTAGTTGAACAGGGTTGGCCAACGCTACTGTATTTAAATGTTAGTCATACTGGTGGTACTATTAGTAGCCTATTATTTTCTGAGGTGGCAAAAAGTTTGAGAAACACTGGTTTAGTCATCTCCTAACATTTACTAACTACATTGATTATAAGTTGATGTATATAAACATCACTAATGTAAACAAACCTTTATCCCCAGCATTATATCTTCATATGTCCCTGTTATGAACCAAATGCCAGTCAGTCCATAGTGGGGCAGTGCTTTTAACATCAGAGATTTGCTTTAATTACAGTTAAACGGAGTTGAAAAACTCTCAAACCTGATCAGTGAATTCACTTTCTAAAATTAAGAACAGCATAAAAGTCCTTCTATCCCTCACAAGTATGTACAGTACGTCTTCACCAACTGTGTGTTGTCTGTACCTTGTCTGTGTCTGAATACAGCGTGTCATTTCTGTGCACGTGCGTCTCCGTATTTTCATGTGTTTGCGTGCGTGGCTGTCAACTTCCACAACCTGGCTGTCTCTTCCTTCTCGTTTTCGTAAGAGAGGCTGACAGGGACGAGGCAAACACATAATAAAAAAACATTGTTGTCCCCCTCAGGGTAAAACTCACCCAGCATCTCCATATGGTGTGTCATCAGCCTGTCAGTCAGGCCTACCCTGATGCTACCTACAACTGTTCTTTCTTTCTCCTCTTTCCCCTAGAGTAATATGTGGGCAACTTTTTAACACTAGAGACGTGCAATATCTTAGTCTGTAGGGGTGAGGAATTAGAAATCAGATAAAACTAATATAGAAAACACTGTGGGGGATGTTAACCAGTAAAAGTGAAACATAGTTTTTGATATAATAACTGACAAATTCTTAAAGATTGTTGTTACATGTTTGTTGTATCTTCTGGTGTTTAAACTTCGAAGGTACCAGCTATACTCCATCCATACTCTGCACATTTTCTACAAACATGAAGCCTCTTTATGTGCAACTTTACATTAGTGAGACCTTGTGGGTCAACTAATACAGTAGTTGCTACATAAATTATCTGTGTATTGTGACAGGGCCTGCACTACACAACATAATATCATCAGACATTCAATTATAACCAAAGGCATTAACACATAATGTACACCCCAAAACTGATCTCATTAAGGGCATTAACACTAAATGCATTTAAAATATAGCTATAACTATAAGTAAGGTTTTGTGTCCAAATGTATCAGTGAACTGACCACATGTTTAGTTTTATTGTTTTAATTAAATAGGTCGTCATTACTCTTTATATGCTGGATAATACTGTTAGCTGGTTGCTAAAATGCTGTCACTGCACATCTCCTCTTAGTAGAAAACGAATGCATTTTTATTAAACCAGGTTAGCTGAGAACTACAGTGTAAATTATTGGTTATAAGTATTATTGGTTATGTTTTTGCCCTGAGGGGGACAACCTGTTGCAAACAAAATTCATTATAAAGCAGACCATCTTAAAAATAAAAGCCTAAACCTACATGCAGCTCTGACTAAATGAAAATGTACCTGAGGTTTAAAGTTTCAAGAAATAAAAACATCAATTAACATCAGTTAAACTCCCCTGCCATCATAAGTAAAGCTAATTCAAATGTGTTTCTCGTTCACGTTATTGAACGAGTGCTGTTACAAACAAAATAAAACCCTATCATACATTGTCTGCTGATTTTAAGTGATTCTGATATTAAGAAATGTTATAATTTCAAATTGTGATTTCAGACAGCATTCTTGCCCTCTAATTGTGTATGATTTTCAACATTTATCGCATACGCATTATTTACACACGCACATACACACTCAGTGTTGCTACATAATCTCTAACTGGTGTTGCCTCACACTTGTCTCCTGCAGGTGAACAGCCGCTCCACTTCATCCTCAGGGTCTCTTCATAAAGGAACGTGAACATACAGCGTGTTCCTGCATGACACTACTGCTGTTCTTTAAAGGAACCAGCCATAACTCCTAAAAAAGGACAGAGGCACTGGATAATGCACAACATATGCAAAGCAATGAGGTGGACCTTTATTATTTTGTAATATGATTTAATTTGAAGTGTTACGCATGCTTTTTGTTTGTTAAAGAGTGTAGATATGTTAGTTACCAAAACACACATGAATATATGTTCTATGGAAATGAGGTAGAACTGTTTGAGCCTGTTGTAAAAAATAAAACTCTTAGTGGGTGGGACCACAGCCTAGGTGGAAATAAAATGTGACACTACATTGACAAGGATAAAGAGGACATTATACTGACTACAGGCCTACAGATATCAGTGAAAATGAGCTCTAGCAGCTGAAATCCTGGTAAGAAAAACACAAATTCTTATGGTTTGTACGACAATGCCACCAGAAACACTTCAAAAGACTTTTTTACTTCACTTTTACCTCTATATATGTTTTTTTTAATGGCCTACAAGTTTGTAACATGCCCTATTTTGGTTTTTGGTTAAAGGTTTTTAATGCATTTGATTGTCTCAATATTAACAATATGCTACTGGGTACTTGAATACAAATTGAAGCTAAAATAATAATAATAATAATAATAATAATAATAATAATAATACAGTTCGAAGCCCATATTCACAGAATTATTCAGAATGTGCCCTAAGAGTGGACTGTTAGCATCTGGCAATTGTATGGCAAGTGAAAATGAATAAAATAATGATCCCACTGTAAGGCACTCTGGGACGGTTTAATTAGAGTCAAATATGAGCAGGCTTTGGCATTATTAGCTCATTATCCCACACACATTTAGAGAAACGGGATGCACTGGTTATATTATTATTCTCACACTGGATGTTGTAATGCTCTTCAGCCCACAGTCACAAGACTTCAACTCAGATAGATGCAAAAATATTTCTCCATGAGACTTTTTGATATACCTTTTAAGCACAATACTACAAAACCTTGCCATACTACATATCAGGGTATCCGTGCCAGTGACAAAGTTAAGTAACTGCTCACCTCCAGTTTACAAGTTGTAAAATCATCAATAACTTTAATAAAATCTTTGTCTTTTTGGCCAGTTTTAAAATCAGATATCCATGTCAAACAGCAGGAGTGACACCTTGGCAAATCCATAGCTGTAGCCAAACCCACGGTCCACAACGGGCAATCAGTTAATGTGAGAAATCCAGAGGAATATAAATAAATTGGTGGCCATCATTGTAGCCAGTCTGTCAAACAAGTTTGTGTGTCAAAATGACCAACAATGAAATGTGGTTCATAATTCTTAAGTTTGAAATTGAAATGCTATAATTTGTCCTTTTTTTATCCTATCAGAAAGATAGTGTAAACAGCCGCACTGATTTCCCATCGTGCTAGTGATGTAGCAACTTAATGCTGTGATTTTTAGAAGTAGAAACTGTAGCGGTAACAATTTCTACTGACGTGGCCCTGACTTACATCGGCCGGTCAAGCTACTGAAAAGACTGCAAAAATGTTTTTTTTTTTTTTTTAAATTCACCTCATTCTCAATTTGTTTTCATGTGTTTTCTGTTTGCAGATTTGTTTAGTATGTTTATATTTTAGTTCTGATTCAGTGTATTCATCTCCCATAGAGAAACAGTCTATGCATTTGACAAAAAGCCATCAACTTATGGATTCTTGGGAGATCTTGAGAATACATAATTTATTACTGGAGTATTGACTTTGATCTGTGTGGAAAACTGTTTTTTGATAAATATTGTAAATGATTGTTTTATTTAATGGTCTTTTTTTGTTTGTTTGCTAAGAGTGGAAATTTTAACACTCAGAAGTACTTGATATTTGTAGTAACAACAGAAAATGTTTTAAAAAAAGGATTGTTTTCAGTGACAACTGAGGTCAGAGTGCACGCTCCTGCAGGAGGTGTTATTGAGCCTGTGCTCTAGCTGTCTGTAAAGATGCTGCTTCAGACAGTGAATCGGGGGAGGAGTGGCAGGAAACAGTGAGACAGTGCTTGTTATGCAAGCCTGAACGTTTATGCAAACTTAAAGCTTAAAGTTGAGCTCTCACTGGGTTCATTGTTTTGACTATGTAAACATGTTTCACAGTTAATAATTATGTTGGTATCAGAATTTCTATTTTCACCAGTTCCTCATTTTGTCTGACTGTAAGAATAATACAAATAAAGTTGGTCAATGTAGATTTACATTATAATAGTGCTGTTGTCATTACACACACACACACACACACACACACACACACACACACACTAAGGCAGTGGTTCCCCAACCTGAGGGTTAGAGCCCCCACCAGGGGTCGCCAAAGCTTCACAGGGTGGTTGTGAGGCCTTTTTTGATTATAAAAGGTGTAAGGACACTTTAAAAATATACAGAAAAGGAATATCTCAGCATTTTGTCCATTTATGTGAAGAAAACTAAATGTTTTAAAGTTTAGATTGTTATTTAAAATGTCCAGGGTAACATTTAGGAAGATTTATAAATCATCATTAGTGTATAATCACCTGAATGTAAGAATCATTATGTTTTTGTTGCCTTAGAATGAGCCTTCTATATGTACAGACGCTGCAGGGGGGCTTTTGTGGAGTCCGACATGTTGTACCGCCATGTTTCTACAGTAGCCCAGAAGGGACAAACCAAACACTGGCTTTAATACTCTAAAATACTGATCTTTTGAAGACTTCCTCTGCTTTGCGCCATACAAATAGATTATTGGATGAGTTTTAACTTTTAATTTTGGAAATTTTAGAGATGTGTGTGAATGGCTGTTTCTTATCTCTGATCCCCCTTGAAGTACTCAGGTCAGGTAAGATTTTGATCTCAATCAGAAATAATAATATAAAATCTGGCCTCATCTTGGCTGCACTTTACCACTCCTACCAGCAGATGGCAGGCAATGTCAGGAAATAGAAGAGCTGCTTTGTTAGACATTCCACCCCTCTTGGTTTTTCTCATTTTACCTGCCGGCTATGTCACATCATGTGTCCTTTATTTGTTCTAATCTTTTCAACAACTAACCCATTAAAATGTTTGCCCAATAACTTCTTCTATGAGCTTCCCCTGTATACAACTCGACCCAGTACCAAGACAAAGCTTCAAATGATGGATGAGGCCTTATTTTTCCACCACCAGACAGCTAATTTGCCTGCAGGCATGATTGAGACCTTATCAGATGCGGTAAATCTTAAAGTTGGCCAAACTGAATCCACGGGCAACTTTCAAACGTGTCGAGTGGATATGGTTTAGCACAAAGTCGCAGAAAAGCATTTCAATTCTAATATTTTTTGTGACAGTCAACATATGTGCAGCTGACCTTATCTGGTTGCTTAAACCCGGAGGAGGAAATAAATACTGAATAAAGGCTGTACTTGCAGCAACTGTTGTCTAGCACGTCTACGAGGCATGAGCACTTGTGCGACCGTGCGTATGCGAGTCTTGTGTACACACTGGTGTGCCTGTATGTCCTTGTCAGAATGTGTTTGTCAGTGGGTCGTGTTATATCTTGGTGCAGTGACAGCATCAGTTAACTGCCTGAGAGACATCAGAGATCATGTTCGCAGTGCCACCAGCAAGAGGGGCTGAGAGTGGGAGCCGGCCACAGGGTCTGGGAGTGGATACTGTCAGGCGGCTCGGAGCAGGAGAAATGCAGTGGCATATGTTGTCTGACAGGGAAACGCCTGGCTTGTTGTCGAGCAGAGAGGGGAGACGGACTGGTGGGCCATTGGAGTGACAGCTGTCAGGACTGACTCTGTGTGTGTGTGTGTGTGTGTGTGTGTGTGTGTGTGTGTGTGTGTGTGTGTGTGTGTGTGTGTGTGTGCGTGTGTGTGTGTGTGCTGTCCTTATGAGAACCACTCTGAGCTTTAGAAGTGAAGACAGTATTGTAAAGTGACTTTATTTTGGGTGGTGTTCTTTACTTTTTTAACAGGGTGGTTTAAGGTTACAAGTCAGGTTTAGGAGATAAATCAGAACCAGAATTTGACTTAGGTTAGACGTAAAAGTTAAGATGGTGATGTCATGCACTGGGTAAGTACTGAAAATTTGGTGGGTTTATCATAACATGAAGAAGAGTTTACATTCTACGCACATATAACATATACTATACAGATGATAGTATTTGTTTTAGAGGAAGTTCACTGTTTTTGGGTAAAAAAACCTATTTAAATTTAAAAATGAAAGATCTCATTAAACTATAATTTTGCATTCTCCACTCGAGTTACACAACACATCACAATGTAGGTGGGTGATGAAAAATAAAGCAGGTTGGAGTAAATATAACCAAACAGTTAAAATAAAACAATTAGTTTGGCATGATGCGTGCCCTTCATGCCCTTCGCATTTTACCCGAGTTTTGCGCCCACTGTAATTTCTCCTACACGCTTGGTTGAGGCGAGTGGTTTCAGTTGGTTGCAGTCTGCAACTTCACTGCTAGATGCCACCTAATCTGACACACTAGCTCCTTAAAGCTTTAGTATTTTCTAAATTCTGGCTGCACCTCTGCTTTAGAATGAGAAAAGATGAATTAGTTGGTTTAAGATTTGGGTGTAAAGAAACAGTTCAAATTAGTTTAAGTAAAGTGATTTCTGTATGTGGTGACAATTCAGAAAAAAGAGGAAATTAATGTAGTCACTGCAAGCAAGTCATTTTTTCTTTAACATATTTATTATATAAATAAGGCACATAATCTAGAGCTCATCAAAGTGATTTACAATCTGTACACCCTCTATGCTTATACATTTGTTTTTCTTAGTTTCCTAAATTCTCCCTTTTAAAATGTATTAAAATAAACAATCTAAGAGGGTAAAATATCCCCATTCAGCTCTCTCTGTCATGCTTTTTATTAAGGAGTGACAAGCAAAAACATGGGGACCCACTGATGCTGTGTGTCGAATGACAGACCTACTGTATCTGACCTCTGACCTCTTTACATTACTTTTCTTCCATCGAATACAAATCAGACATATTGTTTTAATTAAGCATATTTAAAGATCTCTATTTGTTTTCTTAACTTATGCACTATATTTCCATATAAAGGTTTATTTTAATTTGTTTCAGGTCCTTGAAGTGTATTGCAGTTTCAGATACTGAAGCCCCACTGTGACAGTAATGACTAGACAGCAGGCTAAAATACTGAGCGCCGCCTCAGACAGGTGGACACTGGTGATAAGGAGATTTCCCAGCAGTCACAGTAGGTGACTGGAAATGTTGTTGTGTATACCTCAGTTGTTAGAGCATGGCATTAAAGTTGCTAGGGTCTAAGTCAAGACACTGCACCAGTGTACTGTACAGCACAACGCTTTGAATACAAGCACTAAATATTATTTATTTATTGCAAGAAACATTTGTAAAATATAATAAGAAAAGATGATTTTCTCTCCTGCATATATCCAGTAACCATGGTTTACTTTTTTGAACACTGCAAAAAATACTTTTAAAGTTTCCATCATAACAACAAGTGAATCCTCAATTCACCAAGAATGAAGAAAAGAAATAACCTTAAATATAGTGACAAAGAGGTTGGTCAACCCATCATTGAACCTGCTTTAAACAGAGTAAAGATGAAGTGTGACAGTCTTGGTAGAGAGAGACATGCAGGAAGACGAAGGCATATCCATCAGATTAACACACAGTAATGTCTTCCTGGTCTGGCTCCCAGCATCAGTGATTTATCAATGCAAAGCTAATAGCATCAATATGAATCTAACTAAAAATCAATATTTCATTACCTAATTGTTAGTGGGGATGAAGAAGGATGATTGTATGAGACAGCGTTTGAGAGCATCTGGAGTTCACAGAGACATCTGGAGGACAAACTCCAACAGTGACTGCACACTCAGTTGCAACACACTTTTAAAGAAGAGGAGGGTTAAAAAAAAAAAAAAAAAAAAAAAAAATCAATGGACACGGCTTTAATATGATAAAACACTAACAACAAACAGACAAAATCCAATGATTTGTTGCATAATGCTACTGTGAGGTTAAAACGATGTTATAGTCCTCCGTTTTATCAAATAGATCGCCGCCACACACACACACAAAGTGCAGTCTGAACAATCCATTAAAAATACTGACAGTCCAAAAAGGGCTTATAGTCTCACACAAAGACATCAAACCCGAGACAGCCATCCCAGACCTCTAGCATCCATCACTTACATACTGTTAAATAGTCTGTTGGCAAAAGTCAATTTAGTGACAAAGATGCATAAAATAAATTCTACTTCAATCCCCTCAGCCACTTTGAAGTTGAGTCATCAGATCTTAATGTAAATCACAGTGATAATCACACTTGTACTTCCTGAAACCGTCACCAAAGATTAATAATGTTTTCAGTTGGATATAATGTCTCATGTAAAAGCATAAATTCTGTTCTTATGTCTTGGATTATTTAATTTATGATTAGTACAACCACTGGTACTGTACAACCTCCATCACTGCTGGAATGTAATTAGCCTATTTACTGTACGTCTACTTCACCACTTCTCAGAGGCAAATACTGTATTTTTATTCATTTGCCTGATAACTTTAGTTACTTGTTACTTTTTTTCAGATTTCCTTCCTGTTCAGTGAAAACTAGACCTCTCCAAATTTGATTATTTGATATTGAATTAGAATTTTTCTGATAAACTGAGGGATTAATTGTTCCTTTATGGGTTGAGGAAATTCTTCTACTTGTTAAAATAAATAAAAAACTTCTTTGTTCTTATTTTATTTGTGTTAGCTGGGAAATGCATTGTCACAAAGCAGAAAGCAGGCTTGTTTTTCTCTTTAGAGATACATGGTTCTCACAGGACAGTGTCACTACCAACATATGATGATCTTACAGAATGATGCATTGCCGTATTTAAACTACCCAACAGTATTTAAAGTAGTTAAAATTAGCTCAACCTTAAATGTCTACAGCAGTAAAACGCAACATACACATTAATTCAGCAGTAATATTTATACAAAAACATCACATATATAATGGTAAACACTGTCAAGGACCATTTGACTGCAAATAATATCACTGAAAGTCTGAAAGGTTGTACTGTATCCTTTGTAGCATGGGGCAGTATAAGAGCCATATACTGTGAGACAGTGGTACAAAAAACTCTTAATTTGTATTTTATAGTTGACAGTGGAGATACTGTCTGAAAACATGTGGAAGTGAGATGACAGTGAAACACATAAAGCATTAGATTTTAAGTAGTAG